ACTCCAAATTACAAGCGAGATCTAGTGAATGCATTTTAATTCTAGAGCATTCATGTGACCCAAATGCACCTTTGTGACTACCAACAGTTTGTTTGGTCACAAACTGCTTTGAAAACAACAGCTGGGAACTGTAAAAAGCTAAAATCCTGGCTGCATCCTTGTGAGTCCTGGTGTTCAGGTGAACTATTTTACACAGCATGAGAAAAAAAAAATAAAGTCATAGGATAACGAGAAAAAGCTGGTCAACGTAAGACAAATCTTTCCTATACACAAGACACGCTTTTCCTACTTTTAATCAATTTTCTACTGCATACAACTACACCCCAATTTTTCCTGCCATGCAATACAATAAATTGACTTTCCTTTTGGATGTTTGTGACAAGGGGAGGTAATGGATGCCTGCCCTTTTTTTTTTTTCCTGTAAATCAATTCCATTCTCTCAGTGGTAATGTACAGTAAGGCTTCCGGAAATGGGATGCCTGAAACAATGCCAACAACTTTCCCATTCACAGAAATACTTGCAAATACCAGTCAGAGCTCTCCACCCATCAGTCCATAGTCTATGAATACTGTATGGCCTCCATTAACCAGCACTCAAGAGTGGGGGTCCAAATATATTTTAAAGTGAATTTAACATTGTTTTCATTGCTTGTGCAATACCTTGATACAGAGAGATCACATTTATAGTTTCATGAAACAAACACAATCAACCTTTTGTGTATTTGTAAACAAAAATGGTAGTGGAAAAATCAGCATGTCCTATACAAAACAACAACTTGAACTTATGATTAAGGTCAGAATGAATAGTATGTGTGAACATTTAAAAGTAAGAGTATACACAGATGAAAATTGTTTTAAAAAATAAAAATCAGCCATATCAAGATAGAGTAGAAAGTATGGTTAAGACATGTTACAGAAACCCCACCTTAAGGCTTCATAGTAGAAGACAGCGAGAGTAGAAGTTCTGAAAACGTGTTTTCAGCCTTGTTTTAAGTAATCAAAATTAAATTACCAAGAAAAATCAGTATTTAGTAAAGTATGATATAAACACAGTGGGATAAACTAATGTTGTGCAGATACTGTAGAATTATTTTAACTTGAAATTATAATTCAAATACTGCATTTTAAATTTCATGGAATGATAGAATAGTTTGGGTTGGAAGGGACCTTCTAAAGATACCTAGTCCAACCCCCCTGCAATAAGTAGGGACATCTTCAACTAGACCAGATTGCCCAGAACCACATCCAGCCTGGACTTGAATGTCTCCAGGGATGATGCATTCACCACCTCTCTGAGCAACTTGTGCCAGTGTTTTACCACCCTCACTGTAAAGATTTTTCCCCCCCACTTGCATCTCCCTCTTTTAGTTTAAAACAATCACCCCTTGTCCTATCACAACAGGCCCCGCCAAAAAGTATCTCCCCATCTTTCTTATAGGCCCCTTTTAAGGACTTAAAGGCCACAATAAGGTCACCCCAGAGCCTTCTCTTCTCCAGGATGAGAAATCCCAGCTTTCTCAACTTTTCCTCACAGGAGAGATATTTGAGGGTATTTAGCTTCATTTTAGAAATCACTTAACTGGTGGAAGAAGAAAGCCCACCTCAACTAAATGCAATCAGAAATTTAAGATTCAAACACTCTGTTAAGCTCCTTACTAAACACTCCTTTAATCACTACGTGTAGAGTGTGTTAGTATACACTGCAAGCCAATTTGTTAGAGGAAGTTACTTGTATGGCACAGTGCAAACAAACCAAGAGAGCAAAGAGCATTTGCTTAAAACAAATCGTAAATTTTCTGAGAGTTATTTCTGTTACCTATGGTAGTGCTACAGCATGTGGATACAGATGACTACGCAACATTAGTTGGTTGGAAAAATTGCTGAATAACAATACTAGTCAGCTAGTAGCATATATCTGATTGTCAGAGAAAGATACTTTACAGAAGATGTTTAAAAGTTTCAAAGGTTAAAGAAAAAAACAAGATAGAAATATGTTGATTACTGTAGTTAAGTGCTACATATGCTCTGGCAAAACTAATGAGCTTTAATCAACTTTTGCTAAAGATCAGTTTTTAAGCACAAGAACTAACTTGCTACCTTGACCACAGAAACACATGTTGAGTACACAGCCGGAGTATCATAAAATGGTTTGGGTTGGAAGAAACCTCAAAGCTCAACCACTTCTAACCCCCTGCTATGGGCAGAGACACCTCCCACTAGACCAGATTGCTCCAAGCCCCATCCAACTTGTCCTGGAACACTGCCAGGGATGGGGCAGCCACCGCTTCTCTGGGCAACCAGAGCATTTTGAAACTCCTGATAGACACCTTAAAACAAGGAAATACCAAAACCACTTCATACAATAAAGTAAAGGCCATTGGGAATATGTATTTGAAAGCTACTTTCTGTGAGAGACTTTTAACAAAACCTGGGATAAAAACCCCTACCCTTCCACCTTTGCTATCCTTCCCTTCACACTTTTAAAGTTCTTTTTTTTCCCCCCACAGCAATTACTAGTTTGACTTCCCTCTTCAGGATCAGCTAGTAGAATGTAGTTAATTCCAAAGAAACCCATGAGAAGTCAAGGTCGTGCTTTCACAGGTTTTCCTGTTCTACAGAAATGATCTAGCTGCTTTGGCCTTTTGGGAACAGTGCTTATAATCAGAAAAGTGGCTTAACATATTTTCATTTTTGTAAGATCATAGAATTATATACACACACACACTAACAATTCATTTGCAACGGAACCATGTCACGAGTCTCTCCAAAAAGACTGCTGGCAAGTCATGAAAGAAAGTTTCTGCAATGACTAGCGTCTCATGTTTTATGACATGCAGAAATCAACGGTTTCTTTAAATATAGATGTTTCTCTGCATCGCTACCATTTTAAACACAGTGAGTTGTTTGTTCATTAATTTGGAATTTCCAAATATAGATAATGCATGGATACTCCATACATACTTAGATACTTTTGAGTTAAACAAAACATACAGAATTATTAACTTCATAAGCTTACACTGAAGAGGAATTTATATTTCCTCCTAGGTCTTACTGTGCTCTAAATGAGCAGCATCTTGTTTTTACAGAGGGATTTGTATTAAAAAAAAATAATTCTTTCCAGTATGTGTTAACATAGGTTCAAAAGCAATACATCACATTTGATACCAGCAGATTCAGTACTCCTCCTCAAAGATGCTCCAGACTCAGGTTTCATATGAAACATTACATCGCCACCAGTTAACTTTCCTATCATTTTCTCCAGATAATTTCTGAAAGAAACTTCTGAGACACTAATACAAAGCTACATATATTTCTATTAAATGAGATTTAAAAAAAAATTACTGCTTTTAACTGGTAGCACGAGAAGTAAGAATCAAATCACAAGAAATGAAGTGAATTTCTCTTTCCTGCTGTCAAGTTGAAGTCGACATAATTATGTTATAGGCAAAATATGGATTTCTATATAAGCAATAATGATCACTGTGTAGAACATTAATTAATTTCATTTTTTTCTTTCTTCAAACACTATTTACTTACCAACATCTTGGACAAATTATAATTAATAAAATATCAAAACCCCACAACACGTGAGGAAATCTGTATAAATCTTCCTTTGTACTTGTTCACTAAGTTCTTAGGTCAGCTCCTGCTAACATTTGCCAAGCATACTTCAAAGATGACTTCAGGGAGAAGGAATTGGATTCCTGAATAAACTTTCTTCATCTTTAAATGAAAAAAGAAAGTACTATAACCTTCTTATTTCTGATCAGAGTGTTGGTCTTGTACTATTTCACATGATCTCATTCTCATGCCAAGGTTTTTTTCCCCAGTTTCTGCGTGGTTTTTTAAAATTCATTTGTTTGGTGGGTGTTTTCTTTTTTATTTTCATTTTTTTTTTACCCCTGATTAGTTTTTTATGTGCATTCTGTATATTTCCACAACATAGTGTCAGCCAATCATTCAGAATATTTTAAATGTTATTTCAGACAACTCAGGAGTTATTTTATTTATTTTGTGCTCAACAAAAAATTTTCTAAAACACTGGTAAATGATTACTTTTTCCCACCTCATCACCCAAGATGTATGGAAATGTCATTGTATGGAAATGACCATGTCAACACCAGTAATATTTTAGGTAAAGATACATGATTAAAATTATACTCTACAAATACTCTCTGAATATTTTTTTCTGAGCAGAGCTGCTACTGTTGATGCTCCCCTGTTACCTACAGATGTCTTTCAAAGCCACTGTATATTGAGCATTGGCTATGAGCACAAGATACAAGCACTGGCCCCCAGCAGCTGCACTATCAGGCAGAGATTTTTGCTTGTCATCTCTTGTAACAGCACCTTCTGCAAGAATTCTTCATCCCTTTTTACCCAGGCTACACTCTAGAGCAACTCACTTTACAGCTGAAGGAAAGCCACCTACATAGAGTTACAGTGAAAAAAATGGGGCCATTGTAATACAGTAAAGCAGTCGATTCCATGGTAGAAATGGTGAATCCTTCGATTTTTGGAAATATAAGCCTATAAAATATTGTTCCAAATTGATTCCAATTCATCCTGTAATTAATAGGAGAGCTCATCTCCCTCAAGTCTGTTACTTGAAACTGTGCAAACTGTACTAGCTGCTTAAGATTTCAAATCAATAACAGAATTATTATACTTATTGTCATTAAGATTCTTTTTCCATCAATGTCACACGAAAGATTCAAATGAAATTAAAAACGTTCACAGAATCTAGGAATATTGATACATGTGATACGTTACAACAAAATAAAGAGGGAGTTATCTGTCGGCAGAGGGTCTAGCCACTGAAGAAGTAAACTTTTCTATATGTAATTGAAAATGGCACATAATTTATAAAAGGTGGGTCCAAGGCTCAGTTTTACCTTTGGCTTCAGTATTTCTAGAAGTGTGCATTCACTGTGTTCGTGGGTGACATAGCTTTTGCAGGAGACATAACCTAAGACAGAATAAATAAATGATATACTTACAGCATGGGGTGTCTGGTCTGTTCACAAGCTGTGGGAATGTAAAGATAGCAGACAACGCTAGTTCATGGTTTGGATTTTGTTCCTTCTCTTCAGCCTGGTCAGCCCAAACTACTGATTTTTGTCTTTGTATCAGCTGCTCAACCTCACCAAATTCAGTCTCAGATACATTATCTGTTAAGCCAGCTTCTTTCAAAGTCAGGTACTGCTTGCGAAGAATTGGAAGCAAAGTATTTAGTATTCTGTAAAAAAATAAGAGGCAAGACAAATATAAATACATCATAACTAATCTGTTCCTTACTAGCACTGCTACTATTACGAACGCAACAAGGTTTTGCCCTTCTCCACACACTTACTCCCCTCCCTCCCTGCAGGTTCTGCTATGTATTTTAATTTTTGTTTTAAGGGAATACCATGACACTAATAGGAAATATTCATTACTAAGTAGTGATTTTTCTCTTTGGAAAAAGCCTTGTATTACACTCTAAGCATTTACCAAGTGTGCCTAAGATCTGCAGTCCCTTATACACAACAGAAAGTCAGTATCTCTCAATTGAATTATGACTTTCTAAAATTAAGTATCAGATAACTGAACAAGAGTATAAAACAAATAATGTGGATTAAACCAAGGAGATTTTCATTATATGTGCATAGAACCCTATTAGAAGCCTAGCTCAAAATAAGATACTACAATCTTTAATTAAAAAATGGAATACATTAAGATCCACATATAGCTGCAAGTCAAATTGAAGTGACAAAAGCTTAGGAATCCCTTCTGAACACAGGATTTCATTAACAGTGGAGTCAGTTGCAAGACTAAACAGTAGGCTCATGCAATATGGGAAGGAGTGTGTGTATATATATATATATATATATGTATATGCATAAAAAAAACCCAACAGCCAAAGAGGCAACTTCATAGTTCTTAGCTATGTAGCTTTAAAAAGCTTGTTTATGTATTACTTTTTGTCATGTTTATGGTAACAGGCTCTTCTCCAAGGGAGGAAAAGTAACATTTTCAAGAGACTGCTAATAAAGAGCTGGTGCTTACCTGCAAATTCAGCTTCACCCCCCCCAAGTCTGACTAGCTATATTACAGTTCAATAGTAACTATATTTTATACAGGTAAATTTATTAATGTCTACAATGCAAGAAATTAAAAGGAACACAAACACTTAAAAAAATCAATATTGCTATTCAACACAGAAGAAAGACACCTGGATCTATTGAACAATTTGGAAAATCTATGCAAAGAAGAAAATTAAATAGAAATAAGAAGCAGTAGAGTATACCTGCAGTTTCTGTTAAACAGTTGTGGATACAGGCCAAGATTTAAAAAGTTATTATTTTCCATCCTACCTGAAACACAGTTCTAACATTAAGTTTGATAAACATTTTGTTTTTCTTTCAAGTAAAACTAAGTTCTATAGGTATGTCTTCTGAAGTTACAAATACCAGCGTATAAATCTTACCAGACCTGATACGCAAACCATACTTACTTTTCTGTCTCCTTATAATGCTGATCTTGAAGGGACACCAGAGATAACATATGCTCAATCTGGGATTTCAGGTCCTTAACTTCTAGGTTTAAATGGCAATGCTGCAGATCTTCACAGAGTTCCTTAGGCAAAAGGAGGAAAAAAACCCCAAATAACCCAAAACCAAAGTATTACACATCAGACTGATAGAAACTAAAATTTAAACTGAAAGTAATATTAATTCACCCTAATTTGACCAACAGTGAATGTGCTGTCATTAGCATTAAGAATCCAAGAGGCACACATCTATGATTATCTATGCGTGCCCAACAATATGCTTGTCTTTTCCTGTGCTCTTGCTCCATATCTGAGTTTTTCAGTGACGTTATCTGGGACAAATCCTTATTGTACTTAGTCATCTTTCTGAGATGCCAGTTTCCTGAGATACCAGTATCTCATTTGAAATATCCTAAAGTTAATTTATTTTAAGGTATCAACACATTTTTAGTCATCCCAATAAGAATACAGGTATTGAAATATATTCCAATATATGAGTCAGATCAGTGCTCATTACAGTACCATTTAAGCCACTCCACTTGCTGGCTGAAACCGAAAGGCACAGAGGAACAACACCCCAGCTGTCTTGTCTTCTTGTTCCTGTACAGACCTTCATCTCTTCTCCCAGCTCTGGTGCTTGCCTGAGGCCAAACTGAGCTGACTCTACTTGCTAAAACTTGGCAGAGAACTTAACTTTCCACTTCTCTTCCCCTTCCCACTCTTCTCCTAGCACCCTCAAAGTTGTTTTTGGCCAGGCTAAGAACTGGGTTGCTACATGGTTTGACAAGCACCAGGAGCTACTGTAAAGGCAAGACAAGAAGTGAATGCCCAGGAGCAGCACCAATACTGGCAGCTATCTGAACTGCCAAGCAATAGCATACTTACTCCCCTTTAGCATGCATTGTTGCACATCACCATCTACTTTCATGACCAAGGAACGCTTACACAAATAAGGAAACATTTTAGGACAAAAGAACAGAACAACTAACACTGGAATTTGAAAGCACACTGAAAGAATGGCAGAAACCATGAACAGAAGTGAGACAGAGATGGGGGGGCAGTAATTAAAATCTATTCTTAACTATAGCCAGATGTTGCCTATAATGCATGAAACCTGTACTTGAAATGAAAGGCATTTTACCTTTGGAATGCACCCATCTTGACCCAATAGACGCATTTCATTCTCAACACGATGCAGCCAACTGGTATTTTCCTCAAAACATTCAGACTTCTCCCCTCTCTTCTGCTGTATGTGCACACGATGAGTTCTAAGCATTGCAAGCCTTTGGTCCCACTTGCAAGTGGCCTAAAAGTCAGCATTTAAAGTGAAAACTTTCAAATGATGTTCACAAATACTTTTATTTATTTTTTTATATATATATTTATATATATATAAATTTTTTCCATACTGTTATACTTAACTGTGAATAATGAACTTTCTGCATTTCTTTTCAGTTTAATAAAAAGTTAGTAGCACAGTCTCTTCACAGACATTACTTTAAATGTTTTCATTCCTCCCTTCCCCCCCTCCCCCCCCATCCTTTCCCTGGAAACCCTTATAACAAACAGCAGTGTCATCTGGTTATTCCTTTGAAGAATAATACCTTTGATTTGATCAATTTCTGTTCCAGGACACAATTATTTTAAGTTGGAAAGACTGAAAAACTACTTGTGCACATATGGACAAGCACACTTCTAGATACAAATAACCTAATGATTTCTACTCAAGCATGAATATGAAGAAGGAATTTAACCTGCTTTGTTTTCCTAAAGCAATATGTCCTAAATAGAACTCACTAAAGGATAAAATATCTCACAAAAGGAAAACCCTGTATGCTCAAGCTTCAAAATTCTGATGATTCTCCGAAATTTGACAAGGAAAAAGGCACAAAACCATCACCAGTAAGTGGAATGAGTGAGGCAGTGTCCTAACAATGCAAAGGAGACTCCTTTTCAGAGCACATGTAGTTTGCAATACGTTCTAAAAATTAGGAGACTAACACAGTTTGTCACAGAGAAGTGACAATTGGTCTCATTTTAATCTTTAAGCTTTAAGTGATTATATAATTACTTGAGCAAAAACATACATTAGTACAGCAAAACTAAGATGATACCTTGTATTACGTTACAGAAAACTCACCTTTTCTATTCTTTCTTCAGAGCACATCAGTTGAATTTGTTCATGGCATTGTTTCTGGTAATGTGTCTTCAGTGCATTTTCCTTTAACTGCATTTCCAACTTGAGGTATTCTTTTCTGATTTCTTCACGGTTGGCAAACACACTTTTAAGGACTTCTTTGTGTCTATTAAAACCAAAAGATAATAATAAACAATGGATTACTTATTGAAGACTTTTTTTAAATGACCATCTCCTTTGAAAGGGGAACTTTTAATTTGATGTTAACGAAATAAACATACAAAAATTAAGAGGAAAAATGTATAAAGCCTGTTCTAGGTGAGGACTAAATAAAGCGTCAGCACGTCAATGATTTTATGTACTTGAACTAGAAATGGGATGTGAAATTTTGAAAGGTGGACACTAGAAATAAGTCTTGTTGTATTTATGAAGACGACATTGGGATTCAAAGGAAAGATATCTAACTTATTCACACAGGCCTTATCTCTACCTCCAAAACAAACTGAATACCCGTGTTCTCTCCTTATACCAATTTATTAAACATATCAGACTACTGCTGCCATAGACACACAAGGTCTCCTTCAAAAACCTGCTATCTCTCAAAAAATTAAAACCAGAAGTCTTCAATTGCTCTCTTTCTCTGAAGTTTTGCTGTAGAATTTGAATCACCAATGGAAGACAAATCAGAATATGCATCATGTTTTAACACGTACTAGACTAATAGGTGGGAAAAATACAAACTAATGATAGAAGGTACTTAAAACTTATTCTAAGGAGACCAATGTTTAAGTAGCCTTAAAATCTGCTTATTCCTAGTCTGCAATGTAAATGAGAATTACAATAAGGAGAAAGCCTGGAAGCATTACCATTTTGCAATGTAAGTTTCAGTGGTGGTACGTTCTCACTTCACTCCCGAATACTCAAAATGCAGTACAGAAGAGCCCAAAAAGATACTGCATATTTCAATAATGACCAACTTTGTACACAAGCCATGTCACAACATCCTACTGATATGTTAGAACTTGCCGTAAGAATCAAGGAACAGTTTAACATGCTGTAGTGGTTTAAACTGAGCTGGTAGCATGGAAACCTTCTAAAGACATGCAACATTTGAAGTTATTATACAGTGTTGAGTATAAACAGTAACAATATTAAATACCACACAAATATTATAAATTAACACATAGATGCAGCCAGAGAGCAAGTTGAAAAGACATTCTTGCCATGTAATTGACTTCTTACCACTGTTTCAGAAGTAGCAATTCCATTACATAGTGTAACCCTGAATAATGGCAAGTCTTTCATTTTAGTGTTTTATTACTGTCATTTTAAAAGTGAACAGAATTAACAAATGAATTCTTATGTACAGTTTTAGAAATTCTACAGTTTTAGGGTTTTACTTAAGTGTCCACATATCTAGGTAAATTATGTACTACAGCCCACACAGAATTTAGACATAATATTTCTTTAAGGTATAACATAGTCAGCTGCAGAATATCAGAGTTCTTACCCTACACTGTTACTATCTATACAGTCTGCACTACTATAGTATCCATAGAAACATGGTTCCTCCCAGCTGTCTGGGAAGCATAGCAATACGGAATGAAGGTGAATCCTCTCTCTCAATTTACTTCACAGTAAAACCCTGGGCATAATGTAAGAAAGGCTGGAGATTCTGTGTACAGTCACTGTGAGGAACCATTACAGGTAAAACAACTCTGTGTGCATACAATGATGTCCCCCAAATATAGCATCAAGAAGCCTTTGCAAAGCTCTTGCCTTGAACTGGGTTCATTGCTTAAGTAAGCACACTTCTATTCTTATCTCTACCTTCTCTTCACTTAAAAATGACAGCGATCCTGTAGGCATATCCAGGCTATGAACTCTGGTACCTAGTCTCAAAGAGCTTGCGGACCTGGCAGTGGTAGCTCCAGTGTCCACTGCTACCTCAACAGGCTCAAGACTACGGATTGGCAGACAGTGTATGACCATGCTTTAGATAGAGGGAGCAGGAATAACCTATGGTTTTGAAGAAGCAAGTGGTGTAATCAGCAAGTCTCTTCCAGGTAAAAGTAAAGCAAAAAATAATACGTAGTTGGACTGAAACTTAAGACTGTGAATAAGGCTCTCTACCCTGTCCCAAATGGAAGGGAAAGGACAGCAGAATATCTTCAAAACCTGTAAACAAACATGGGGGAAATCAACTCATCACCCATACCATCAGTAGGATGAACCTGACAGGATCCTCATGAGGAAGAACACAATGAAACTTCCACTTTATTGCCTGTATCTAGAGGGATTTGGATAAGCTTACATGTCTGTGTATGGATATTCCAGAACATTAACACCCTAACATTCTCTGACCAAGAAATCTTGGCATGGAATGTGTCCAGAATTTTGAAAAGACATTTTGGAGACCTTGCCTTTGACTGACTCTTCCCACACACAGAATGAAATAAAGGGCAAATCACAAGAAATTAAATTAACCTTAAAGGCTTACAGTGCAAAAATATGCAGGAAAACTGTCAGAACTCTCAATACGGCTTGGAAGCCTACACTTCTTTTGAAAATTAAATAAAAATAAACCTGAATGAGAGGTTTATTGAAACCTCTGGACAGCCAGTAAAATGAAGCTCAGATACAACTTTGCTTTGAATGGGCTTTTACCAAAGTTTCTCAGGTTAAAAAATACCACATTCAAATGGCCAATAAGAAGTTAACTGAATAAACCTAGGTGAGTAATTCTCAGAAATATGTGGTGAAATATGCAGAGACAGATCCAGAAAGACGTTCACACAAAAACCTAACCTTCTTATGGAATAGATTGACTTCTGCAACAGATTCATCTATCATGTCTTAATCTGTTATTTTTTGTGTGCACTCATGAGAGACTGTCACATCAGAAAAGATAGACAGGAACATCACCAAGAATAAAAAGAGATCAAGAAATACAAAAGCAATAGAAAGTGAGGAACCCACAAACATAAATTAAACTCTGTGGAAAGAAGAGCTTTAAGTTCTTGCCTCTCTTAAACCTAGCAGGAAACTTATTACCAAAATACTATCTGGCAGCAGCAGCTATCATTTATGCAAACTACATTCTGCCCACCCACAAAAAAGACCTGTTAAGTAGTTTTGCTGAAAGCTAGCATTCATATGCTCTTTCCTGATGCTTATATGTGTTGTCTGCCCAATTACTTAAACTAAAGTAGACCGTGAAGAGAAACACCACCATTAGGAACTTAAACTATAGTTTTGGAATTTCAAATTAAGTTCCATTTGGTAACATGTTCCTAGAGTTATTGATAAGAAGCCTTGTAAATAATACTGTGCCTCTCCTCAAAACCTATTACATTGATTTTAGAAGTCTAGATTGACCACTTTATTAATAGCTTTAAAACTATAGTAAGTTACTCTTACTTGTGAGACATTTGCACATTTTTTGTGTCATGAAGATAAGCTTCTTACCAGAAAAAGGATTTTTTCCTGTTATTAAAGGACTTTGCCTGGTTTTAAAAAACTTGTGAGATGGACTTATTATCCCATAAGTTGAGACTGCTCTACAGACAGATCAGGAAGCTTTTGTTGCTATTAAGTTCAACTCATTTTCCCCTTTCTTAGATGCATTGTACTTCTGTATTACATAGAACTCAACTTTTGCTACATTGATCATTCCATTTCTGTTGTTAGGTTATGGCTCAGCCCACACATACTGATCAGTTGCATGGCTATTCAGCAGTTTGGCTTGTTTGCTTTGGGTTCTTTACTATATTTTTGGGCTCAAAATAGGATGAGAAATTGATAAAATTTATGTTTGTTGTTATTCTGAAAATCTACATTGCAAAACAGTACTTAATACAACCAAGATTAAAGAATGTCATTTTTCTTCAAAATTGTTAGCTTTTCTGGTAAGAAAGAACTTCTTAGCCCTACAGAGCTCTAGAGCTTCCTATGAAAACAGTTTTTCTAAAATCTTTTGTGCTACTAGTGGTAGAATTCCATCTGCACGTTAATACAGAATAATAACTGTAGCCTTAAAACAAAAATACCCCAATCTGACATGAAATTTCTTCATTACAGTAACAAAGCTATTGATAAGCTTAAAAAAAAAATTAAAAAAAAATCAATCTAGGAAGTACTTCATAAGAAAGTACCTAATTCATACAAGACCCTTCATCACTGATCTCAATTGTGATATCAGAGTGAGTTATGTCAGTTTCTTGAGGATTACAGTTATCTTGCAGTGTTTTACTGAATTTTCCTAGAAGGTTAATATCAGGATATTTCAAGTATATATTATTTGCTTTGTTTTAAATCCACCACCAAGCTGTTCTGTAAAGAAGTGATTCATTGTGCAAAGCCACACCTTGCCCAAGTAAAGCAATGCTAAAAATGAGGAAACTTCTTTTAGAAATAGTTGTTTTACGAATACTTTTACAAATGCTTTACAAGTTATGCAAACCCCAATTTTGAAGCAAAATTGTTACCTGATTCACTTACCTTTGTATCATGACTTGTTGGTTGTTTGAAAATACTGCAGCATCAGGATTTCCAGGAATGCTTCCTTGCTTTTCTTCATATTCTCTCAGTTTCTCTTTTAACATTAGGATCTAAACCAAAAAAGGTACCTTTTAGTTGGAATATAATGGTTATGTTTTTTTAAAACCTATTGTTCTGAGCTTATGTCTTGAAAAGCTTCACAAATGTCAGTAAGCGATATTCTTAGAGGACAAAATATCTTGCTTCTGCAGACTATATGGCAGAATTAGGACAATACTGACATATAGATTTAATCCCATAAATACATACTCATGTTTTTTATTCAAAGTTGTAACAATTAATCTCTTACACTTTTAACAATAGGGTGTTGTTTTTTTTTTTTAAACATACCTCTTTCTTTTGTTCATTGCAAATTTTAACATACTGGCTTATGTGACTGTCCAAACTAACAACATTGCTCTTCAACTGCTAAAGAAAAGGAACAAGTTAGAATTTAAGAAGAGTCCTTCATGTTTTCTTGCATAATAAATACATTGTCTATAAGTACTATGCAACTATACTTGTACTGTATTATGAAGAAAGGGGTGAATAAAATCCTGACTTGCACAACAAAACTGACCCCCAACTTCTGGAGTCACCTGTTGCACTCCCATGACCATTTCCCTCAACAAAACAATAAAAAATTATTTATATGTGTATGCACATTTTGCACTTGTTCAGATTAGTTTTACTATTTTATGTCTATCTTCTGCTTTTCTTATAAAAACTATCTTTACATTTGCAACACGTGGAAAGTACAGTCAACCTGTATTACATGGAAAAAATTAGGAGAAACACTCTGATAAAATAGTAAGATACTAAAACTGGGTGTGAATTCTATCAGCTAAGAATTATTTCTAAAATAGATGCTCACAAAACAAACTTCCAAACTGGTAGCATCATCCCACTAATGAAGCTATATTGCTTTTAGGCCAGAACTAGTACCTCCATTTTTCACTTACCTGAGTAAGTCAAGTGTAAGAAACACGAGCTAAGTGAACAAAATTTTAGGGCAGAAATGAAGGTAATTAAAATCTTCTAAAAGAAATAACTCCCTCAATACTCTTTTGTTATACTTTGACAGATCAATAAATACCAACATACTCACCTTAGACTTGATATTCTTTGCTCTGTTTGCATACTTGAGAGTATTATATGTATCATCATAGAACATAGATGATGGACTAATGGCAGCTATCATTACTGTTTGGCAGTTTCCTCCAAGAGAATCTTTCAATAAGCGAGTGAGCTTGCTGTTTCGATAAGGAATGTGCCGTTTCTTACTCTAGAAAGAAAGTTGATATGCAGTTTCTGGGTTAGTCAGCTGTGTTAGCCAGGTTTCTTTCTGATGCGCAGATACATAATTATTTTTGTGATGTGTGCAACTAACAGGTATGGCAGACTACATAAACCACTTAGAGTTCACAGAAAAATGGAGGTTGGGAAGGACCTCTCAAGATCCATTTAGCCCAATCCCTCTGCTCAAAGCATGGTTACCTACTGTAAGCTGCCAAGGTCTATGACCGCTCAGGTTTTGACTATTTTAAAGGATGGAGATAACGCAATCTTTCCAAGCAACCCAAAGCAGGGTTTGTGAAGGTTGTTGTTTGTTTGGGTTTTTTTTTTTTGTTTTGTTTTTTTTTCTCCAGTCATGCATACAGAATCTTCATCTCGCAGTAGCCCAGTTAGATCACTACTACCCCAGTCCTGCACCAAGGAAGTCAACATCAAGAATTTCACTTTTAGTCCATGTACAGATTTCAAATTCTGCCTCCCACTTCAAGATGATGATAACAAAAAGAGTGTATCTGTAAGGCAATGGACTTGTTCTTGGCTAAAGTTCAGGAGGTTTTGTCCTTCTCCCACACAACTGTCCTCACTCCTTCCCTTGAGTTAGTGAGCTAATTGACAAGACTAATTCACTACTGTGAATAGAATGGGGGGGAAAGGCTGTGAGTGTGGGTGTATGGATGCATGCAACACCTATCCAAGTTTGGATAGGTGTTTTCTCTTACAAGAGCTTCCTCACCTAAGATTAAAGGGCATAAGCTTCCAGAAAAGTCCTTGTCTTAATAAGGCTATATATTCAGTCATGATATCTTCTCTACACATGCTTGATTTTGAAAAACGTGGTCAAGAAAAGGAGGTACGTTTACCTTTGACACTATCCTTAGGTGGCTGCACACTATTTTTGAGAACAATCCCATTGGGACTGTGAACTAAAGTCAATGAAAGCTTACCATTTTTCAAAGTATTTTCAGAACACTAGGAGGTGAGAACTGCATGGAAAAGAAGCACATACCTTTGTATCTGCCAAGGCATTAATGACACTTCCCAGAGCTAGCAGGGAGCAGTTAATATTTGTTCCTTCTCTAAAACGGGCCCCCTTGGCATTTGTCACACTGGCACGTTCAGATCCTGCCAGGTCAACGAGAGTCATTTTGGCAAAACGAACATTTTGATTGATACTGGCTGGTTCATCTTGCTGCCTTAGATAAACCTACAGTAAAAAAAAAGAACATATTTAAAAAGTAACAACTAATGAGTCTTGTTACTCTAAGTAATAACTTTTATTTCATAGTGTAATAACTGTTTTCAGAATTATTGGCATCCTTCTCAGAATCCAAGTTAAACCTTTTAGTATACCTCTAACACCAATAGGCAGTTTGGCCTAATGGGAAACAGTGAATCTGTTTCTGACGCTGACCCCATAAAACTTGTCAGCTTCAGCTATTAGCAAAGAAAAAGAAGAAGGTTGTGGCTGCACTGGAGTTGGTTAATTTTCAGCATAGCAGCCTGTACAGTGCTTTAGTATTTGTGACCCCCACAGTGCTGGCAGCGCACCAGTGTTTAGCTTTTGCTCTAGCTTTTTGGGTTTCTCCACAGTACCCATTGCTTGAGGACGGTTGGATATCAGTCTGCCAGTGGCAAGTAATTGCTTCCCCCTCCAGCCCCTTCATTTAAGTAAAACAGGTTATTTCCCTCTCCTCCCTTTTGCTGCAGAGGATTAAGCAAGCAACTAGGCCAGGTCTTACCAGACTGGCAAAGGCTGGAGGGCTTCAAATGAATTTCACAGCTAAAATAGCCCTCAATTCCTCAGCACTCAAGATGTATAACACACTATTTCACTTCAAACTGAAAAAGGTCTTAATTTTTTCAAGGCACCTTTAAGAGGATGACGTAAACATTTATGTAGGGACAGACCAGGAAAAAGGCTGGACCTTCAGTGATTTAGACTTAACTGTAACTACCACCAATAAGGAAACAATACTCATTTACTGCTGTGAACACACATGTTACTCCAGGGTCTTCTGGAAAGCTGTTCCCCCTTATGCCTTCCTTCCTGAAATTTTCATAGTACAGGACATATATGAAGTAAATGCTTTTGCTTCCTTCTGCTAGTGAAGATATTCGTCACATTTATGAACAAGTAGGCAAAGCACGATAACATAGTCAATAAGAAGAATTACTGTTATCCTTAGATGGCTTTTACTTGTTCAGGATTCTCTAGAAAGTCCCCCTTCTTTTGTATTGACTGCGTTGCCATTTGCAAGGCTAATGGTTACGAACAGTTTCATGAACGCGCTTTAAGACTCAATTGGGAAAGAGTTGCCTTACATGTAAGGGAACTGACAAAGACAGTGTTTCATCAGTTCTGCAGTTTTAAGTGTTGTACATGAGCAGTGAAATCTTCACAATTCATAACATCCAAAAAATTTGCAAATATTGGGAATAAAATTATCATAACTTGCCACTAAATACCTATATCAAATAGATATGTTTCTCTATCAAGCAGTACATGTAGGTTCTATTTCTAGTACAATACACACACACACAAAAATGCACCACTCCCCAGTACTTACCTTGGTAAAGTAGCTATTTCTAGCTAAGTAACATTCTACCAGGACGCAGTAGCTACCATTAGTGAAGTAGGGAAAAGCGGAGTGACAGCCAAACTATGCTGTACAGCACATCTTTTATAAAAATTCAAAAGATACAGGAGATGCCCCAAAGCAGGATCTTTCCTACTTCTCTGTCCGTCAGCAAAACATTTTCAATAAAACAGTGTGGCAATTGGGATTTTACTTTCAAATGCAGTAATTGCCTGACCTAGATAGATGTTTCAAACTTAAGACAGATGGCAAACTTAAGACAGTAAGGCAAAAAACAGCTCAGAATGTCCTGGGACAAGACTTTTACTATTTTGAGTCAGTCCCAGAAAAAATCCTGCTCCAATAAAGTGAACAACAAAAATCATCTCCAGCATAAAACAAATGAACACACCTCTACAAACAAAAGCAACTCTGAAAATAAGAGAAAACTTAAAAATGAAGAGTAATCAAGACAGCAATAGGTATTTCTCATAACTTGTACCTGTGAAAGCAAAGAGGCAATAAAATAAACAATAAGCAGGTAAGACATGTTTTGCTAAATGTCACAAATTCGTGGAAATAGAAACTGACACAAGTGGTTTTTTTTAGCACTAATTAATTAGTTTGTAATTACTTCTTACAGATGCCACCACTAATTGCACCAAGTAGATGGAGTATTTAAGAACCCACTTTAAAAGTGTATGGTTGTGACTTTGCTTCAATGAGTACACACTAATTAACATCTCTTAAGCTTCCAGTGCATTCAATGGACCTACCTAGTTAGCAAAAGTAATATTCCTCTCAAGTGCCACATGCAGATGCAGCATTTCTATTAAACATTTATGTACACGTTTTTCTAGATAAATGTTTAATCCTCTCCTGATCTGAAGCACAGTCACTTTTGTGAAAAAGGCTTAAAACCCATTCCCTCTGAAGTGTGCCATTATTCGAAGGCTGCACTTGTTTATCTGAGAACACAACATATTAGTAGATATTTGTACAAATCACACATTCAAAATACAGTTGTTTAACAAAACTAATCATTACTTTTACTAATACTTTGTGCACTTGACAGAAAATACAACTTAAGCAAAAGCAATTAAATATCTTGAATGACAGCTAGACCATCTCAAAAGATGAACACAACGGACATTCAGGATTACCTCATAACAGGAATAACTGGGTTAAGAATACTGCAAAGCACACCAGAGAAAGGTTTTGCCAATCCAGTATCCTTCAACAGAATCAATCTGACAGTTTTGGTGAATGAGCTGTGCACTGAGACTGAATGATGAGTACAGAGCAGAACATGCTTCTAACCATGACATGGCAATGCCTGTCCTTTACATTGAAAGGTCCTTTGCTTCATGAACAAGTTGTAAACATTAGATATTTGTCCATAAAATCAAGTTCAGTCAAGCATGCCATTTAACTGACTGCAGCTGTGTATGGATACTGCCTAAAAGACAGCCAGTGCTCTTTACACACTAAGGGTACTTTGCTGGCCACTACTCTTACAGGGGCACAGAAGAACAAAGAATGTGAAGAGATTAGTCCAAGAATAACTGTGTCTCTCATCTCAAGCTCAAATACACAAGTGTTCACACTAGCTTAAATAATCTCAAAAATTCTAGTATCAACAACAATGAAACCAGAGAAAAATCATTCAGGACTTAATATTATGATCTACAAAAGCATATCCTTCTTGCTCTTTAAAGTCAGATACTTACTGTAACAGTATTTCATAACCAAATGATTGTTATTAGCACATTGTCATGCAACACACCAGTTCACAGCATGTATATAATATGCACACAAATAAAAAAAAAAGCTTGCTCATTTTAGAACATAAAATGAAAAGCATTTACAAAACCATTGAGCGTAACAACTTCCTTTCAGTGCATGGCAAACAAGGCTGCATCCCAAATATATTCATATATATATATATATATATATACACACACAGAGATTATGTATTTGCTGTTCCTACAATATGTAAATACAAGAGGATGTTTCTTTTCATTACATTTTTACTTATATTGCCAGAAAGAAAATAATCCTTTCACCTGCAAGCATTCATATTTGGTTTAATTTTCATGTCTGCAAGCTGGGAATAGTTTCAAATGTTAATTAAAAAAAAAAAGCATAAGTACCATGCATTTTATTTTGTCAAACATTCAAACAAAATTGTAGTAAGAGAATAGATAATTTTGTCAGTACAGTTTTTTTCACAGAATCACAGAATCCCAAGGGTTGGAAGGGACCTCAATAGATCATCTGGTCCAACCCCCCTGCAAGAGCAGAGTAACCTAGAGTACATCACACAGGAACTTGTCCAGGCGGGCCTTGAATATCTCCCATGTGGGAGACTCCACAACCCCCCTGAGCAGTTCCAGTGCTCTGTCACTCTCACAGTAAGGAAGTTCTTCCTGATGTTAACGTGGAACCTTCTATGCTCCAGTTTTTGGTGCATGTGTAACATTTGCTAGCAAGTAGCTGTATCTACCATGCTATCAATTTAAGATATATACTGCCTGTCGTTAACCATTTCTCATTAATCTTGACAGTAGAGCTCTGGCACAGTAACTTTATAGATGATGGCAGTGCAATTAGCTATGTCAAAATACAAACTTTTGCCTATAATTATTAAGCACTGTCTAAGTCTGCAAGTACAGTTAAGAACTGCCTAACAGTGAAACAGTTTACCTGTAATTAAAGGAATACAAATTTCTTTTACTATTTTGCAACCCAGAATGGTAACATTTAATTATTCAGATAATGTGCTTTGCAGTATGCACTAGGAACAGAAACAAAGGAATTTTAATTAACAAAACTGCTTTTTAAATATTATTTTTGGAAAGCATCACAGGTTGCATGTAAGAGGAGTCAGAAGGATAAGATAGTGATTATCTTTGGAGAAGTCTTAAGTTTTAGCAGACTTCTGCAACAGATTTAAAACTCTTATAGATGGAAACTAAAAAATCAGCATTTCATTTTGATGACACAAGTATGCATATGGAGATATTTTCAGAGAACATATACTGCTTTAATTGTCCTAAAATTTGGTACATACAGGAGCAGTAAGAAATTATTCTAGTATAAAAAGAAAAAAAAAATTAAAAAAAAAAATCAACATTCTCCAAAGTAAGTGGAATGAGAAAGTGCTACTTGAGATTCTCAGTTCATAGTCAGACATATGACTTCAGTCTGTAAAATATTTTTCCTAGAAAAATGCTGAGCAATGAAATGAAACTAATAAGCATTCATGGTTTCATTAACCAGAAAGCATTAAAAAAAAACAAAACTAAAACCAAAACCCCATCAACTTTCAGCTTATAAGACTGCAATATGGAAGTATATTCAAAGTTCAAGATTACAGCTTTTCAGAAAAGCTATTTCTTCCAAGCAACATTAGTTCAAATGATTGGAACTAGAGATATTTACACTGGAATAGACTAATTCAATGAAATCACTACAAATCTTTACATATTTACAAGGAATAAGTCAAGAAGAACAAGAAACTGGAAAACTTTATTCTCTAACACTAAGTTTCAACAGTTAGTTTAAAAAAAGACCAAAATGCTTCCACTGCATTCAGCTTTAATTAAAAGCTACAACTCACAGTAATGACCACTGTACATCTACTGTCTCATCTTACCTGAAAGACAGCATGGGACCGGGAAGAGGAGGCATTTACATCTGTGGGGTGCTGTGTTCTATTGTTATTTCCATAATCCAGCATTTGAAGGATTTCCTCTGCCGATTTAGGCTTTATGGGTAGAGTACAAGATAAATGCACTTTTAGTCAACTGTAGGAAATTCTACACTGATCTAAAAGACATTAATATTCACCTTCAGAAAAACAGAAGCACTTGAAATTTTGGCTATCTAAAACCTAGGAAATATTTCCTGTTTTGAATTTGAAACACTTTACCATTTGTATCTTACTGCTATTTAACTGAGAAAAGGAAGCACTTTAAAAATCAGAAAATTTTTTTTAGTGAAGACTTTAAACAAATCTGCTAAAGTTCTCCATCGTTACAAGAAGCCTTACTTAAGAATGTTTGACTTAATTTTTATTGTACTAATGCATTAAAAAACAGTATACTCATTTTTTCTCCAGAAGACTCAAGTTTTGAGAAGGACTGTGTTTACAGAGTGAGCCAACCTAATAACAATTTCCTCTTGAATCATTATTCCCTGTACACAAAAGCTGGAAGCTACATAGCATGTAACACACGCTAAAAGGTTGCAGGAAAATAGGTCTGTCAGAGTTATTTTCAGGTTCTGTCACTGACTTAGCCAAAGAATTGCTACATTGGCCTGGAAAGGCAATTTGACATGAAATTTCTCAAACAAGGCTACTTAAAAACAAAACCAACACTAAGACGTTGCAAGGGTGTAGATCACTTGAACATGGCACTGAAGGCCATGAATTTATTGAACAAATGCTAAGGTGTTTTAGCAAGAAACCCATATCTTGAAAGTAAGCATCCAACCAGTGGTACCCATTTGATAATGAGTAATGAATACTTTTATCTATCTGTATTCAATATCAGCACTTTTTTTCCCCACAACAGGCTTTTGAATCATTATGTATGTTTGCAAGTTACTAAGGTATTAGCAATTATGGCTAGGAAAAAAGCCTACTAGGAAATCACTTAGACACAACTTCCACAGAGCAATGGGATCCTACCCATTTTCTCAAATGCACTGTCAAGCAACCTGAATTTCAACACCTATTTACATACCTGATGTAGCGTTAGCCCTTGAACTACCACCCCTTTCTGGGTGTCTTCACAAACAGCCAGAGGTCCCGAGTTCACCAGCAGATCACGGATCTGTTCATTGTAGACCTTTGAAAGGGAATTGAAAATCTTTTAATATAACTGTCCTGCCATACTTGAAAGGATTAAATTTAACTAACCAGAAATCAACACAGTCTTTTTAACACTTCTTTAAGGCAAAATAACAAATTCATTCTCTAGCAATTTTGCCAAAGAGTTCTCCTATACTGAGCTTGAAACATTCAATTAATTTAAATGGCATGATTTTTTTTTTTAGCCATTGAAGTGGGAGCCACTCTTTCCTAGTAAAAGATTGTTCTGTACTAAAAAAAATAAAATAAATTTTAATTTACAAACGCCCCCAACTTCTGCAGAAACCTAATACCTACATAAATCTGTTAAACTTCTTAAATACTTTATTACTTGGTCTGCGGAAGCACTTGGAATAGCACATGGCAAATCAAACTGTTCCCTCCTCCTTCTCTACCTCCCCACCTGCCCTATTAACTTCTCTTCCATGAAGCCTTTGAGGGGGCTAGAAGGTGACAATTTCACTACTACTACTACCTGACAACAGTGCCAAGAAAGCTACTTGTAAAAACAGAACGGTGATGCAAAAAAGTTGGCGAGAGGAGAGATGACAAAGAACAAACAGAATATTTGTAAAGAGCTAGCCATTGACATATCAGCTCTAATTCAAGCAGTTGCTCTGTATCTCAGATGAATAAACAAAAAGCTTTGAAAAATATTATCAAAAAGGTATTAGATACTTTGTTGTGTGATCTCACAAGGCTTATAGGATTTTACTGTTAAGTTATATTGTTAAATATACCCCTGAAAAGATTTTTCTTTTACACATCAGCAGAAGTTCAGAGGGATGTAACTGATCAGCAAAACAAATGTCTTTAGAATGCCCAGTGAAGACATCAGAAGAGACAGTCCTTTTTGGACAGCCTTCTGTAAACCAGCAACAGGTGCCCAGGAATAACACCAAATTTGTAGAGCACAGTTTAGCTTCATTCCTATCAGGGACACATTTTGTAAAGTCCTAGAAAGGGCTGAAAAAAGGTAAAACCAGCTTTTTCCCTTAAAATATGCCTTCTTAAAAGCAACATACCAAGTACAAGAACTCACCTCTAAATACGAGACAGTAATGTTGCATATTTTATCTTCTTTTATTTCGTCGATGGAATTATAAAGTGCCACCATGGTTAAATACATCACACCAGGATCTTCAGGGGAACCCAACATTGTATGAGTCTTTCCAGCTCCCGTTGCACCATATGCAAGCACTGAAGTTTCACAAAACAATACAACAAAGAGACACACTTTATATCAGTAAGGTAATCAGGAACACAAACCAAATGGACACGCCCAGACCTCTGTTATTCTGCAGAGCTGTCTGCATAAACTGATCAAGTTTCTTACTTAGGCTTTACCTTTCACAGCTATAATTATAAAGCTATCAAAAAAAAAAAAAAGCATTTACTTTTCAATTTTCAGTTCAAAATTTATTCACTGGCAATTTACCGTGAAACTTTGCTTTCTCCCTGCATCCTAAGTCATCAATTTATTGCAGGTAGGTTATTTCCTTTCCCCACCACACTCTATTTGCCAATTAAAAGAACCAAGCTCTTAAAGAGAATTAAGAAAGCAGGCAGTGACACAGCTGGTTCTGATTGAGTAACTCTTTCCAGAGAGCTCCCTTCATAAGCATGCGTATACTCAATAAAATTCTAAAGTGTATTACATCCCTAACATGAAGTAATTTTCCAGATAGAGCTTCCACAGGCAAAAAAGTCAGCCTCTCATATCCATAAATTAAAATAAAAAACTTTTTATTATTTACATCTCAGCTTCTCTTAAGGCCCCTGCAGCCATCGGATACAATAGTAGAAACTTGGAGGAATTCTGTAAAGTTTTTGAACCGCAGAAGATAAATAGTAAAGTTACCTGTGCAATTATATCCTTTTAAGAAGTCATCGATCATGCTTTTGGTAGTATGCTCAAAAACTTCCAACTGGGTTGAGCTTTCAGCAAAAACAGTATCAAATACAAATTTCAGGTCTTTATTTTGTCTTTTACTAATATCCCTATGGTTCACTTTCTTTCCATGACAAAACCTAATTTCTTCTTCTTCCTTTGGATCAAAGACCAATATATGCTGGTCAACAACGTGAACAACCTTGGTAAAGGTGCTGTCTTTTTCCTTTTGAGACTCTGGACGGACACGGACCACCACTTTGATATGATTACAGACATCTCCCTTAGTAGCAGACATAACATCCCCTTCGTCCCTCTTCTTTGCTTCCAGGACTCTTTCAGATCAAGCAGCTGAATCTTTTCTGCAACAAGAAAAAAACACCCGCCAACCCCCCCAACAAACAAACAAACAAAACAAAGCTTGAAAGATGTCACATTTCAAATATAGCCTTTTGAATAGTTCATACTTTTAAGTAGGACTAGCATCTTGTGCTTGTACTACGTCTCCCCTTCCCTCTGTTAGCTAGCCTTTTGGAAAGCACTGTAAATGGCCTGAAAAGATGACCCAATTCAGCACCGCTTTAAGAAAATGAATTAGCATTTTAGGTTAGAATGGGAAAGAACCTTAAGACCATTTAATTCCAACCTCTCTGCCATGGGCAGGGACACCTCACAATAAACCATGTCACCCAAGGCTCTGTCCAAATTATTGAGCTTATTTCAAGAATCTGAACTCATAAAACACCTACTGGCTTTCCTTCACTTGAGAGCAAAGTTGCAGATACGCCACCAGGTCTCCATATACTAAAGGAAGTGTTGTGGTGGTTGTTTTTTTTTTTTTTTGTTTGTCTGTTTTTGTCCTTTAATAGAAGTCAGTAGCTGCCTATCTACTTTCTCTCGGCTACTGGTTTAATCGCGTTGGACGTGGGTTTAAAGGAACAGTTAAAGTGGGATTCATGTTAACATAATTCACAAAGGGTACAAAACCACTTATCCACGTAAGCCAAATTAGAGCTTCCTTTTAATGGCCATCATAACTGACAGCTGAAAGTTGGTCACGCCTAACACCATATAGCGACTCTGTAGTAGAGTCTTGGTAACGCTTTTGCAGCTTCAGGGCAAGCCGCCCCGCCTCTCAGAAGAGTCACCTCACAAACACTGGGTTAACTGGAACACAGCGGCAAAGCAAAGCCATAAAACGGACAGAACGCCCAGAAACAGGCAAGCGCGACATAGCCCGCCAGACACTCTCAACCCACCGCAAACACCCCCCCCCCCCCCCGGTCCGCGCCACCAGATCAACCCCACATCACAGCCAAAGGCAGAGCGGACGGTCCCGACCCCCGGACCAACACTCACCTCAAGGCCGCAGCGCAGCAACCGTCACTGCCGCCTCCAGCCGAATTCAAACACAGGCGCCCCGCCCGCTCCGTCTCCTCATTGGCCGTCGCTCTCGTGACGCTCGCAGCGCGACGGCGTCGATGGTAAGCGTGTTACTTGTTCTGTGTCGGAGCTTGGTCGTCCGTGGCGGGGTTGTTCCCGGGGAGGGCGGGTTTGTAATTCCCCTCGTGGGTGTGCGGATCCCGCAGGGGCTGCGGGTTGTTGTGGTTGGCAGTGGCGTGAAGGCGAAGTGGAAATTGCTCAGTTTCACGCCTATTTGAGCCTTAAGGGAGAGCGAGAGCTCTGTGAGGAATGTACAGGGCTGCGGCCTAGCCTGCTGTGAGGGGGTTTTTCCAGGCCTGGTAGGGCGGGCAGTTCTTGTGCCGTACACAAGGTCCCTTTTGTTACCGGGCTTTTTCCTGACGTGGTGCCGGAGACCCGGCGTGCTGCCGCTTCTCAGTCTTCTCTGAGGAAGAATCCCTGCAGAGTCCAGTTTTTGTCCGTCACGCTTGATGCAAGTCCTGCCTCAAACTCTGACCGAATGCCCCTTAAGAAAGTAACTGAAAGTGCTCTAAGAAAATAACGCGGTTTTCCTAGCTTGTAAGGAGAAACAAATCGCTCGGTTGTGTTAGATTGATTGAAAGCAGTGTCCCCCTCTTGTTAACACGACTTCTTCGGTGCTCCTACCAGCAATGTAGGGCAGTGGGAGTTGCGTGGTTGTTCACTCTGCTCGTATTTTCTGGGGAGGTATTGCAGTTCTTTGCAGAACCTTGGACCAGTATTATGTCTGTGAGACGTTATGTAGAGTGACACATGCTTTCAGATTTCAGGTGAAAGAACAGTGTTTTCCTCACCTTAATATTTTCTCCTGAATCTAAAAGCTGGGACTTAAATTGTTGTGAGATAACTTTCCATGATCTTACTTACACAGGCAAAATAACATGTGAGGCCTCTGGTTTGGTAAATCAAAGCACGTAATAACCATCTGTTAGTTAACATAAGACTACCCTTTGGCTAATAGTATAAATGTAGGGTGGCGCTTCTTCAAATGCTTTTATGTCAAAGTTTGCAAGTTTGCTGTCTGGTGGGAGAGGGTATGCAATGCAGTATTACAGAAGGTCTCAGCTCCATGAAGAAATTCAGAGATCTTACAAATAAAGCCATGTTATCACCTGTGTTAATTTTTATTTTTTTTTAATGGAAACAAAATTATGCAGCCTTCTGCTAGTTGATTACTGGCTTGGTTCTGGGGTGGTTTAGACAGAGTGAAAAAAAATCTGCAGTTGTCCACGTAGTTATACAAACTGTAGCTAAACACTTGAGTTTTCCCAGGGTTTTGGGTATTATTTCAGTTAGTTTTACTCTGGAACATCTTAGCTCTGTCTGTGTTTAAAATATTGAGGTGTAATACAGGGATTGTAGCGGTAAGACAAGGGGTAATGGATTCAAACTTAAACAGGGAAAGTTCAGGTTAGATGTAAGGAAGAAGTTCTTTACAGTGAGGGTGGTGAGGCCCTGGCAAAGGTTGCCCAGAGAAGTGGTGAATGCTCCATCCCTGGCAGTGTTCAGTGCCAGGTTGAACAGACCCTTGGGTGACATGGTCTACTGTGAGGTGTCCCTGCCCATGGCAGGGAGGTTGGAACTAGATGATCTTAAGGTCCTTTCCAACCCAAGCCATTCTATGATAACAAACCCCACATATTTACTATATGTGTAACCCTAAATTACAGGACAGTTTTAAATTTGGTTGTAGTGTTTGATGTAGTAATTCCCATTGTAACTAGAAGTACGGAGAACTTAGCAACCAGAGTGCTGCTGCTCAGAGCAATGTCTCATTTTGGCAAAATGGAGGGGTGCAACCTGAAAGTGAAGTTACTATTCTGGTTTGCTCAGATGCTTAGTCATTTAATGTTAAAGTCTCTGGGACATTGATAGAGTCCTGCTAGTGTAAAGGAAAAGTTTCTTATGAAAGGAAAACCATTGTTACTTGAATATGATTTATTGGTAGAATAACATAGAAAATTATGAAATAAGTTAAAGTAAGACATTCTGGTTTAGAACTGCCCATTTAGGACTCTGTAGTGCTTTACTTACAGCATTTCCACTTTGTTTTATAAATCTACTGTTTTAAGTATCTGTTCTGGAGTAATTCCTGACATCTACTGTTTTTCTAGATTGATCAACTCCAAAATGTTATCTCGGTGTCTGTGCCAAGTTTACAAAACTTTGGTTTTGCGCAGCTTAAAGCTGACTTCAATAGATGTGGCTGTTTTGGCCAGGAGGATTCATTCTTCAGCAAAAGAGCTGTCGGACTGTGAGTTAAAGGAACAAACCATCCAGAAATGTGAAACTGAAGAGTTGCCTCAAAGTATGGAAAACAATGACGGTGGAAGATTGCACGTACCAGTGATGCTGGAGGAGGTTGTTAATTGTTTATCCCCCCAGCCAGGCCAGGTGAGTTAAATGATTAATTAACATTTGTGATTCAGTAGGAGTCCAGCAGAAAAATTAGTACAGTATAGGGATAACTTTTGTTTAGAGGAATGAAGAGGTTCTCTTTAAGAATCAGTTGCATGTTTTAAAGGTTCTAAATTTTTTTGCAATTCAAATCAAGGTTCTGTATTCATAATAATAGAAATCTGGTATCTATTCCTGAATCCCCAAATAAGCAGTATTTCTTAAGGCTGTAGTAAGTATTTGAATAATTTCTTGCTTTTGTGCTTGTCTTTCTGTATTGCTCTTGTGTATTTCTAGGGTTGTGTTAATTACTAATAGTAGCAGGGAGTTCTCTTGTGTCGTGTCCTCAGTTTGTGACGTGCTCCTTTGTATAACAGGTAATAACTACATAGGTTTTTAAAATCATCATAATCATCATCATACTTTGTTCAGAGATAGTTACTTCTATGGTTTTACCTGGTTTGAGGCACTCCGTTTCTTTAGCATCTGCTTACACTGGTGCACACTAGAGGTACAATAGTTAGAAAATGACTGTGTATGGTACCAGAAACAGTTTAGCATCAGTAATGTGGGAGTACTACAAGTCATCTTATTTCACTATGATACTAAATTCCTTTTGGTATTTGGGTTAGCCTAGGTCTCCCTACACTGCAGGTTTGATGTATCTAGGTTCTACTGGTTATAAGATAAGTATACTGTTACACATTGCTGTTGCAAAAATGATACACAGTGAAACAGTTATTATCATCTGAGGTATCTTAAATACAACAGTAAATAGAAAGGATTTCTTACACAACTTAAATGCTTAAGTAATTTTCACATTTCAGATGCTTTCCTCTGATTTTATCATTTTATATGTTAACTTCATAAAATCTTATTTAGGTTTATCAATAAATAGTTTCACTCTAAAGACTGAAATGATCCATAAAGAAGTAGAAAGTTCAAAGTATGTGTCTATTTTTACTCAAAATCAGCATTGTCTAACAGTGGCAAAGGGGTATGGCATTCAGTAAGCAAAAAATTGTGGTCAAATCTTGTGTGTTGCTTTGTGAGAACTTTTGTTTGGAAGACTGTATCATTTTAAGTGTTTTGAAAATGAAAGAGAATCAGAATAGTGTAAATATTGACACATAGACATTGCTCTAGCATGTGTCCTCCTGCTGAAAATACCTGAACTAGTGAAATATCCTAGGAACTTTGAGTTCACAAATCTTACAACTATGATGAAATTTTCACGCATTAAATGAACATACAAGTTGTGATCCTGTATTTGAAGCTATTTATCCTATTTATCCAGTTCTGTAAGTTTCTACTTAAATAGGAATTAAGAAGTTGACTCTTTTAATAAACTGTTGACATAAAAACCAGCTAACTTATTTGGCAACAGAATTTGCAAAGAACATATTTGTGATTGTAAACTGTGGAGAGTAACTGTTGTTGTCCCTGAAGGCTTTTTGATAATTTAAGTATTTATGAATGTAAAATAGCTTACTGTTGGGGTAAAGTTTTTTTCAGGTCTCTATATACATAGTTTTACAGATTCCTGAGGCAGTGGTGAAACACTAATGATGCATACAAGGCAGCACAAGTGTGTTACCTCGAACAGAAGCATTTATAATATCTCTAACCTGTTCTGCTTAACTGAAGCAACACTTTCATGTTTTTTTAAAGACAGAGTAAATTGTCTATTTGCAGCACTTTCTGAAGCTTCAAGTTTTGAAAATAAGTTGTCTGCAAAAGATTGCAGTGTGTTAACTGAGTTTTGATAGAGTAAGCACCAGTGAAGTTTAGAACAAAAGACAAGACTGTTTCTCACTGACAGCGGTGATACCAGTTTCTGTTAAAATGCATATCAGCAGGGACTGTCGTATCGATTTACATTGTTGAAGTTACAGTCATAACTTGGAAGTCCATGAGCACTTTATTTTGTGGGCAGGGAAGGTAATATTCTGATCATGGATTTTTGTCTGCTTTCTTCTATGCACACCAAGGTTTCCTTTACTTGGTTTTAACACGGTTATATTCTTTGTTGTAAAAAAGCTGATTTAGGCCTCTCTTTTTTGTGTCCTAAGACAAAGAATTGCCAATATAAAGAAAATCAAATTGGACAATATTCTCCCTTTGGTTTTTGTCAGTCGATGGGGTTTTAATTTTACATATAGGGGGCCCTAAGAAAATAAATGTTAGTTAAGAATGAGACACAGCTGAGATGAAGATGTTAATACCCTCCTAATGAGTATTCTTGTTGACTGTCTTTTCCTTTGTGGAATCTGTTTGTCAGGGATTTGAGCAATAGCATTTCCACTTATCTTTGAATCTTTTACTGCTTTAGAGCTTGTTTCTACAAAGTCCCTGTAGAAGTCCTGTCTTTGAAGTGTGTGTACAAATTGTTTTTTACCAATATACCTCACTTCTCAATGGAAAGTCTGTTGCAATAAATCCACACACAAGTAATTTCCTCTGTAAGTTTACTGTATTGACTAAACAACACTTTAGTCTTATCAGTCCACTAGTGTTCTTTATGTGTACTTGGCCAGTGTTTCTGCAGTTGTCAGGGCAGCTTGAGTTTTCTCTGTTCTCTTAAAGAACCGAGCATATTTTCAGAGTGAATGTCTTAGTGCAACCAGAAGCATGTTATCCCAATTTTCACCCTGCTTTTTCTTATTTTTTCCTTTGCAGTAGTCACTTGTTTTTTAACTAGAGGTGTGGATCTCTCCCACTTCATATGACTATAGTCATATGAAAAAAAAATCTTGTTAACTGTGTATTCTAGTACGAATAAGAGAGGATGAAACTTTGTGTTTTTAATTATTCTCATGGGGGCCTAATAACAAAGGTTCTTACAGGTTGCAGAGCTCTAGGAAACTATTTTGATAGTGCTCAAGCACAAACAGGACACTTCTGGGTATATTATTTAAATTCCAACTAGAACAAGAAGAAACCTACCTGGCGGTGTTCAAGGCCAGCTTGGACAGAACCTTGGGTGACATGGCTTAGTGTGAGGTATCCCTGCCCATGGCAGGGGGGTTGGAACTAGATGATCTTAAGGTCATTTCCAACCCTAACTATTCTATGATTCTATGATAAATGTTATACCCTACTCAGATTGTATGGGGAAGCCTGTAATCTGATGCATCTGTGGTTTTGCTTTGAATATAATCTAGAATAGACTAAAATGGAGATTCATTCAGCTCTTGGAGTACTATATGGTTTATGGTAGTTCTGGAAGCATTTTTTAATACCTGTAAATTAAATGGCAGGTGGTCAAACTTGAGGTGAGAAAGGAGGAGTGGAACCATTCCCTTTTCTCCAGTGTTATAGCGATTCATCAGAAACGAGTTAATATCATATGATCTTTTAATCTCATTATGTGAACTTGTGTCTAGAAAAATAAGGTAGTTAATTTTCCCCAGATTTTGGCTGGCATCATCTTGAGTTAGCAAGGACTTCTTGCAGAAGTATTGTCTTAGATTCTGTATAAAATTATTCAGATTATTTTTACTACCCAGCTTCCATTGAATGGGATATCCTCTTTGTCTTGGAAATAATCTTCTAGAAAGAGACATGTATTTCTTAAAATCATCAAGCTTTGCTATGAGCTTTCCAATTTTCCAGGTACATATTTCGTAGTTCTCAGAACAGCTACTGTTTTCATGCATCCAAATGTCAAATGATTCTTTTTCAGCTGATGGAGACTATGAGCGTGGCCTTCCAAAATAACAAGAGAAAGCATAAGACATTGCTGACAGTCAGGTACTGGTCTTTTGTTACTGAAGTGCTGCTTGAGCTCTGCAATTATTTTGAAGACAGTAGCCTTTCACCTTCTGAAATTCTGTTGCCACTCTTGGATGTTGTTGATCTGGAGCATAATTGTCTCCTTCCTATTCCACAGAGCTAGTTAGTCAAGATGTCAGGATGTTAGTTATATGACACTCAGAGGAAGGTGAGGTAGACCGCTGGTGTGTGAAAGCCAAGTCTGTTGTTTTGAAATGGTGTTAGTTTCTTTGTACCCATGTCTGTATGTCAGTATTCCTTTTCTTTTTCTGCTTTACACTGAGTGTAAGGTCTTAAGGACAAAAATAACCTTTTTCTGTGTAGCACCCCTCAGAGTGGACTTCTGTTTCATGAGAAGGGTTTCCAAGTATCATGGTGTATAAATAGTTACGTGGCTATGCTGGTGACCAGTGTACTTATTGTAGTACTTCCAAAGCCATCTGCAAATAATTTGTAATTGGAACAGCCCATTTACACTAAAGGCTATCAGAATTGAAGTTTTCTGCAGGGTGTCCAAGGTAAACAGGAATTGAAAAATGACCTGGAAAAATTAATTCTTGAGTTCCCAAGTTGTACGAGGTATTTTGTAGGGTGCAACCGAAATGTCAGGGTTGCCATGGAATATTGATTACATCATGAGATAAATGCTGAAATACTTGTTTTGGAAAAACACAGCATTCCATGGACATAGTAATCAGTTTTACCATTTTAGCCTGTTTTCCACTGGACTTGTAAAATTCAAGTAGGTGGTATAAAGCAAATGGTTTATGTAGTGATTTTTGTTGTATAGATAACTCTCTTGTTTGTTTTTTTCTGTGGGAAGCATGCTGAAAATGTCTTTCCCTATGCAAATTGTATGGTCAGTTTTTCTGTGGCAGCAGCACAGTGATTTATGTGGTGATTGATAAAGATAAGCTGTTGTAAAACTAGAAGAAAGAATATACTGGAATGTGCAAGAGGCAATAAATTAATGTAGAGAAATTCTGAAGATAATCTGGGATTTACAGAGCACGCTTTTATTCATGATACTTTAGTGTTTCTGGGAGGTATTGAGAGTTATTTCAGCTGATGATGTAGTTCCTGTGTAGTCTTTTAGTCACTCTTCTCTTGCCTTGTTTTCTGGTTGTATATATTGTGAATCTGGGAAAGGGATCAGCCAGGTTTCAGATCACAGCTTTGTATGGAGATCTGTAATGAAATCTGCATAGCGTGCATATGTATGC